TCTGTGATTTTGGGGGATCCCAAAGTCGTGTGACTGATTCACTAATTGCTTTGCAAGCCACCCATTTCATGCCTGTATTCATCCTGCCTCTGCTGAGTGTGGCGGTGTTTTACTCCATTGTGTTTCTGTTATATCGAAGTATTTGTCTTTTTTACTCTTATTCTTCCCCATTCTTTGAACTTTGTAATACTTCTCAGGGCCTAGAGGGAGAACTGATTTAGCTGAGGCTAAAAGAGGGAGAGACTGGAGGGTTACTCCAGCTGTTTCATCTGCAGTAGCGGTCCTGATGCTGTGGGCGGCGATGGACCTGCTTACGCCCTTTCTCTTCAGTCTTGTCCCCAGAAAAGGCTTGGGGAATCGTTGAGCTAAGATCCGTCCTTTCAGGCTCCCCTATCCCCACTTCCCCCACAGCAGTACACATCTTACTACATGAATAAAATGCTCATTTAATCTTCCCTAGAAAAAGACAAGAGGACATTAAAAACTTCACCTCCTTTTCTGATGACGCAGGACAGTGTTGCATCTCTTGTTCTCAAAATGGCATTTTCGAAGTCTTCAGCCTCAAGGGTTTCAGAAAGATATTTTAAGAATTTTTTTTTTTTTTGTACTATGCTGTCTACTTCAATCCTGTCTGTCACATGATTCCACCCTAGTAATGGAATCACTTCTGGTGATGTGTTTTAATTTCTTTGGCCATATCTGCAGGGAAGAGTTGTAAACACACTTTCTGTTTTTAGTCACAGTCTGCTATATCTAAACAGAGTATAGGAACAGAGAAAAAACATTTGGAATTTTCTGTCCTCAGTGTTTGAGGCTATTCAGGTTCCCTGATTTTTGACCAGTAATAATGGGTGTGCTTGAAAGCTGATGCTTGTGAAAGAGATGCTCTTGAAATCTGAAAATGAAGTGGATTTTTGTATTACACCAGTTTTGCAAAATGATGCTATTTCCCCACTCAGTTTCACCATAAGCAAAAGATAACTTTTATCAGTGATATTTCTTTGCATAGATTTTATCCTCTGAGTTGTAGTCTTTCTCACATATTTGCTATCAAGATACCTTTTCCGTCTGCTGCATCAAATCCGCTGTTTTGCAGAAATAGAAAGGTACTGACAAACAGTGATGATAGCAATTATCTGCCATGTGTCTCTTAAAATTGTTCCCCCCGCCACTTGGTCAGCCCTATAACTTCTACAATTCCTATTTAAAATCTTGCCGCTTAGTTTTTAAGTGGTGCAAAACCTGGAACAAATTTTGCTGCAGTCATGATAGCAGAGTGGCAGAGGAGTATTGCTGAGAGTACAGCAGCAACAGCCTCTCTGGTAACACTATCTGATCCCCTGAAGGCTGTAACTCAAGTCATGAACAGAGGCTTTAGTTTAAGTTTTTGCTTATAGAATCTGAAAGAACAGATTCTTCTCTTTTCAGCAATATATGAACTTACAATGAGCTGCCCCTTTTTCCAGACAGACTGAGATGTATGTGACCGCCTTGCAAGAAGCATACGAATTACCCACTAAGGTCACTGGTATTGGTATGTTATTGATGGCTTCTGTCTATTGAAATGCTACGTCAGTGGCGAACTTCAGCAGCATGCCTGAGTCGTCAGCAGTTGTGCTGCCACTGTGGACTCATAATCCGAGCGTAGTCACTGTCAAAGACACACACTAGGCAGTGCTGAACCTTGAAAGTCAGGAGCAAAAATAAAAAAGGGAAAGTGCAAGTGCTGTCACAAGGAAAAAAAAATTAAACGGGAAGAATTGGGCATATTCTTCATTTTGATCATTCTTCTCTCATTGACTCTGGAGATGATGCTTCACAAGGAACCCTTGAGGGGTGTTGAAGAGGCTGTAGCTTCGCATAGCCGTTTCGCTGCTGGCTTTGATTTGGCTGTAGCGCTTTGGCTAGTCCGTGGTTCCCATATGTCCATCCATAGCCAGGTAGGAGGAAGACTTCTGCATTTGTATCACACCCAAGCATAAATGGTAGGGGCTTCCTGCCAGGCTTACTGGTGGGGTCAAGAAATGATTCTATGAAGAGGGTACCACTGAACAGTGGTTAATTATAATTAGGCTGTAAGTAGCGATAAACCTAAAACAAACACTGACCTTTGAGATAGCTGTAATCCCAGGACAAACTCCACAAATCGGGCTTTGCATCTATCATTGCACTGCAGTGACAACCTTGCTTTGTTTCAGAGCCCTGAGGGTGATGTTCAGACTTGCATAAAGGATTAATACCTTGCAGAAGCCCCATTTAAAAGGTTAAAAGTGGGGCCTGAATGGTGCATAGAATATATGCTGTCTCTCTATGGAGGACAGAAGCACACCTCAGGTAATCAGTATCATTTTATAGTAGCAGCTGAAGACTAAAGAGACCTTTTGATGTTAATGGGAATTTTGACATGTACCTCAATGGAAATGGCTTTCAATGCCTGTCATAGACTACTTATATGGACATTCTTGAAATAAATTAGCCACTGCAAAATTGCTTACAAAAGCAATACGTCAAATAACCTATCATGCAGGAGTGGAAGATGTATAGTGTTTAAAGTCTGAGCCTAAAAGTAGCCCAGCTATGCCCTTCAAAGAAGAGCTTGGGAAAACATCACTGTCAGTTCTCACCCACTGACAATCTTGCTGAGGTTCTGTCTGTTGTTCCTTTCTTAATAGAAAAGTGATCTGAGGCTATCATCTTTCATTTAAAACACATTTTTGGTTGTAAGCACTTTCTGGTATAGAGAAAGGCTTACAGCTGTAACGGTTCTTCCCATATTCCCAAGTGCCTAGATATGTAACATACATTTATAATGTATATATAACCTAGATATATAACATGTATAAAACAGATGTGAACACTTATTTGTTGTGATCGTATGTTAGGTGGGAGGGAAGCAGGCTGACTCACTATGTTTTCACTTACATTAAACTGTTGGAAAGATACCTAGACAGACAAGAATATTTCTGACATTTTATTGTGGGAAGTTGGAAGAACTCTAAAAGAAAATTATAACTAGTCTGAGGCTGCTATTATTGGAAGCAGTGGTAAAAACTCTGTGAAAACATCTATGTCAATGTAGAGTGCTTCTGAAAACCGTGCTCTGTACAATAAGCATAAATCGAAAGAATTGTTCTGCTCCTGCTCTTATTGTAACTAATAATGATAATATACTTCTGAATTGTGTGTCATCTGCAGAGCTCATTTGATGATCAGTATTTCCAAATTCATTGCTTTGCATTGTTAGCAGTTAGTGTAATCTGAACTGAATTGGTTAAGCAAACAAAAAAACGCCCTTCCTTTCTTTTCATAAAGCCAAGCATAAACTTGATGCACAAGATAACAGTGAATCAAACATAACGTGTTGTGACTGAGTCTGTAACTAAGTAATTCTGATTTCAGTGCATGATGTAGCAACTATGTGGGTAGGTTTGACTGAATTTGAGAACTTATGGATTCATCATATGCTCGCTAATTAATAGAGCGATTACCTTGAAGATGGTCTACGTTATCCAGAGCCAAAGCTAGATACTGATTCAGCACCTTATTGTAGGTAAAGACAGTAGTTATTGTAGGAAATTTTTATCTCTCTCTCCTCCCCACAGGTTTATATAAGTCTCTTTGGCAAAATAATAACTTCTGTCTTCATCTTTCTTTCACCTTAGACAGGATACGCCCACAGACACTGTCCAATCTAATTTCTGTACAGCCAGCACAGGCACTTCTGCATTTTAATTTGCATTCAACTGGCGGATGCAGCCTGGATAGAAGTACTTTGCATTTTGTACAACTTCATGCTAGCCTGCTCTCTTATTCTGTGTTTATCTTGGGGGAAAAATAATGACAAGCTTCCCTTTTAAAACTGACATTTTATTTTCTTTGGAAGGAAAATAGTATATTTGGCTTCAAAGGAAAATGCTTATTGTTCCTCTAGAAACTGCATTCTCCCATTCTATTCCACCTTTTCTGCTGTAAACCACCTTTTTTAAAAGTCATAAAATAAACTTATCACTCCTGCCTGCATCCATTTCTTGCTATGAATTTGGATGGAGAAAATGTAATTTTCTCCAACGTGTATTTTAGTCGTCTTTGTACCCTATTTCAAAAAATCCATTCAAGGATACAATAATGCAATTATTTTTGTTTTCTACGATGACATTCCTCTTAACAGTATTACATATCCTACAAAATCATAATCAGGGTACTGAATGATTTTTTCCTTTTTGTCTGTTAGTGTGACTAACAAATCCTCCATGAGCCATCTCAGAACTGACCTAGCCATTAGTGATTATGGGACTTTTTTGTTCACTTTATTAACTTATAAGCAGCACTACGTGCTTTAGTTTTCTGTTTCTTTCTATAAAGTATTTTCAGGTATTGGCAACACGGCAACATAGTGGTTATAAAGTTAAAGAATTATTTTGCTTACTACTACTGCGGGGATACCAGCACTAGCTAATGTGATGGTATCGATGGAACTGGCAATAATTCAACAGGATTGTATAACCGACTGAACTCTGCCATCTAGGTTAAATAAAATGTCGGAGAACAGCAAAGTGCATCACATTGTCAATAGTCTTCGTTTGTGTCTGATGTGTTGGTATTTGCAGTGATGAAGCTCCAGGCAGCCAGTTGGTTACAGATAAGTTTCACATTGACTGGGACTCAGTGCTTGTCAACTCTGATAATGTCATCGTAGCTCGATTTGATGGCAGAGGGAGTGGATTTCAAGGCCTTAAGATTCTACAGGAGGTCCACCGATGCTTAGGATCAGTGGAAGTGAAGGACCAAATAGCAGCCGTAGAGTACGTATGTGCAAACTTTTCTTCTCTTCTACCCTGCTTCCACTTTGATGAACTGGCATTTTGAACTGAAACTGCCCAGAATGTTTTCTTCGCATAGTGAATACCATTAATGTTTACTTCTAATGCAGTTGCAAATTTTGAAACAATAATATTTTCATTACAAACAACAAATTAAAGGTCAAAGATGTGTTTGCTTGTTGTGTTGGTGCTTCTGTTTGATAAAGTTATCCTTCCATGTACAATCTAAATATGCCATCTGAGCTAATTCGTATTTGTCTATATTCCTTAGGAAAATTTCTTGCAGTGCACATGTTAATGTTTAACTGCATTTCTGTTACAATACTTTAGGCCTATACAATAGGATGCTGCTCTCATTTCCACCACAGAGCTCTGGAGTAATCGTACAAAGCAAATGGAGTTATAATAGTGTAAATGAGAGCAAAATTTGGGCAAATGCCTATTATTTCTCATTTGCATTATCATTCTTAGACTGATATATTCCACCAGCTGCAGAAAAGAGTCATTTCCATCTGTGGAGTAATCACACATGGCTTTGTCTACACTCTACTCAGGGTGCCCATGTCAAAATGGCTAATATCAAGGTCTGGAGGGACGTTTTCTAGGGATTCTCAAGGAAAGAGATTTTAAGACAGGGGTTTTTTTTTTCTTCTTTTGAAAGGGGTTGATGCTTCAACCATTGCGTGAGTTGGCAACTGTCTCTGACATGACATGACATACCTGGGCAATAGGGCTCCTAGTGTTCATGTTGGTCAGGATGGGCTGCGCTGAGCAGAGCAATTCAAGGTGACCATTGCGAAAGGGCCATCAGAAGCAGGCCATGCGCTGCGCTGTGAGAACTGAGCTCTCTGCTCTAATACTAAAACGTTTTAGGCTAAATTACATCTGGATTTGTTTTGGATGCACTGCGTGGGGAAAAAAGGGAGGCTGCCCTTAGCTGAGAGGAGGTACTGTGGCTGGTTTTCTCTCCTCAAAAGCAGTTGGATTTTGCCCTCAGATTATTCTGTCTTTTCTGTACGAAATTCACCATTGCTGATTCATGGCCTTGATGAGAGAATTAATTATTTAGATAATTATCTAGAGTCAAGAAGCTGCATTCATCCTATCTTCCTTTAGCTGTTGAAAAACTAGACACCTGGTCAAAGCCGGTCATTTAAGCTCTAGTCAGTGGAAAATCCTGGCATTTCTGGAAGGTGATTCTTCCCAGACTGAGAGAGGTTTCCAACATGGGTCAGAAAGAATGGCTGTTTGAGGGTGTCTTTCTTCTTTCCTTTAACTGAAGAGCAGATGTAAATGGGCAATTCAGGCAAGATCCTCAAATTCAGATATCTCAAGTTAGTTGAGATGAGCCCGACACCAACTGTTTGCCATATAGAGAAGGAATTAGAAAGCAAATCGCATTTCCAAATGCATTAATACTTTCATTGGTGTAATTTGTTTCTCTACCTGATCTGCATGTATGACAATTCCTTACTGTTCAAATAATTTTCTTTACATACTAGATTCAACAAGTAAAATTCACCATTTTACCAAATTAAAAAAATTTTCTTTTTCCTTGCAGATCACTATTGAAACAGCCCTTCATTGATCCTAAGAGGCTGAGTATATTTGGAAAGGTAATGTGCAAAAATAACTGGATGTATCGTCATGAGTCTTTAAGAAAATACTATTAGTTCATAAACAAAAATATTTATCTATTTTCCTAAGACAATTTCAGTTATTAAAAGAGGGGAAAAAAACCTTCCGTAATTTACTGTAATTATGTTCTGTATATTAATTTTTTCTCAGAATGGGTATCATTCTGATATCAGATCAATCAGATCAGTTTTACGGTACTGCAGTATTTGTATTTCAGAATCTGAAGGAGAAAGTATTTGTTTAAAAACATCTGCTTGCTTTAGAAATTTTTAATATGGGCTTAGGTTTTGTGAAAGCTTATTTCTTACACTTTTACGTTTGTGCTGCAGTCAAATTGTCAATGGCCTTCTAATACAACTTTTACATCTGAATGTCTTACTGACCCTTGAAGTTAGCTGAGTTACAACCTATATACTGTCAATAACTTCCTTTTTGCACCGTCTGCTAGAAATCTCGCTGTTGCCATTTTGTCAGCTGGCTTCACTGTGTGGCATGTTGTTGCCTCTGGTATGAGACAGAACAAGGCAGAGGCTTAACCTTTAGTAGCAAACTAAATATCGTTTTACTGATGTCCATTAAAAAACAGCAATTAGAAACACCACATAATTGCTACTTCTATGAACTAGCATGTGCAACCTTATTTTTTTTAAAGTGTTTCTTAAAAGTGAAGGTATTTTGTGCTTTTGACTTCAAAGCAACGACAAGGCATGGTCAAATACCTAGACAAAACCCCCAGTTATAAGAGCAGCGTGCATTCCACTATGAAACCCTTTAGTTCCCATCCCTCTGCTGCTGGCTTGTTCCATGGCCTCAGGCAAAGCATTTAACCTGCTTGTCTCAGTCTGTCTGAATGCAAAGTGAAGATATTGGTATTTACCTCCTGCGTGATAGAATTTTGTAGATTTATTAATGTTTCTGAAGTGTAGTGAAAATGAAGTACTATTATTAGCATTCCACATGAAAGTGACCTTCCTCAAAGATTTGAGCTCCTGCCACACTTCTTGAGCTAAAGAAACTATTGTTGCAAGAATATCAGTAGCATTGAACGCAGTATTTGGTTTGTAGGGCAGCAGCCAGAGATTTTTTCAGCCAAAGATGTATAAGTAGGGCTCATACCACCCACCAGTTGATCATGGCACACATTTCTGTTCAGGTTTTAGTGCCTGTTATTAATGTATATGAAAGTACACACGCATATAAGCATCTACATTTCTCCATATCCTCTTCCCACAAATGATTGAAAATGTCATTTCTGAAATGAAATCACTAAGCACCCCGAACTGCTCACTTGTTTCTGACTTCAGAAATTGTTTTCATTGCTACTTGAAAGTTTCCACTTGTTTTCTATAGGAGATTCAGCAGCATCTTCTTTCCTAACAGTGATGTGATGAGACAGTTACCACAGCATATATCTAAACATGGTTTTAGATATCTGCCAAAGGCTACCCCCAAATTTTTTTTTCTTTTACGAAATATTATTGATGATGGTGTTCCTGTATTTATTTTCTGAAAGAAACACTGAGGAATGAGAAGTGGAAACGTGAGAAAGCAAAGAGCAAAAAATAGGAAATTCAGTAAGCTTCAGTGCTGCTCTGAATTCAGGGAAGTTCACCCTTTCCAAGTTAACCTCAGAGTTGTTTTCTACTGTCAGACAAAAATTCATAAAATATAAAAGTCAGTTTTAGAATTTGGAAAAAAAAAGTCTATTTAACAGCTTCCTAAGGTTAATTGTATTTCCCTCCATTTTGCTTATTTTAGAGTCAATTAAAGTCTTTAAAAGAAGATTTTTAGGAAATTTAAAAATTTGCTTTCTACTATCTACAACAATATGATAGGAAAATTCTTTTTTTTTTTCTTTCTTTCTATGCATTTAATTGGGCTTACTGAACGGAAATAGGATGTACACTATGCTTGGCAGTAAGATGGCTTTGGAATTGCTTACTGCTGATCTCATAAAGCTGGGCGTATGCACATTGTCATGGAGCTCTTTAAGAGGTTTTAGAACCACACAGAAAGAAAATACCTGTAGCAATCGGTAATGTGACCTAGGCACAAGAGTAAGAAGGCTGTCCAGGAAGGCACAGCGTGGAAAATACCTACTCCTGACCACCGGACAATCAGCCATGCCCCCTTGCTTATCTCTGTGAGGGGTACCAGCCCAAGTGATGCGTGATCCAAGGGCCCTTCTGAACGGCTACACAGCAAAGCGTGTTTCCATGTAGTTTGCATTTTTTTTCCATGGGAGTAGAAAGAGAGCTTGAAAATAAGTTGCAACTTCACAGCCAGCTTCTTGAACATACGGCAATTGGGTTGTAAGCACAGAAATGCTACTGATGAGTGAGGCGTCATATATCCTTACATCAGAACACAGGAACGAGTCTCTGCATTGTCATTGTGAAGTGCTTCTAAAACTGTGATCTCACTGTGTATTGTTTTTGTCCCGGAAAGCCTGGCTGGAAGCAAGGGCACAAGAACAAAGGCAAGAAATTCCCAGGAGAACTAAACCAAGCTCTTAATGAATACAAGGCATAAATAATAAATACCGTGGCAATAGCTATCCTAGGATTAAAATTGTGCTGTGGAACTACTGGGAAAGACACAAACAGAATTTTAAAAAGCAAAAGTAGAGACCCAGAGGCACGGGAAAGTTGCTATTCTCTTAAACTCTTTGAATTATACAAGTTACTGGTGCCCACTCAGAAATTCTTTCTTAGGAGAAATCTACTCCAGTACACGGACAATTCTGGGTGGCTCTTGGCCTCCTGAGTTGGAATTTCTATGGGAAGGGAATAACTCAGTTCCTCACGCTCCCTTGAAAATCTAGGTCTTATTCTGTATTTTCTTTAGTGTGTCTGTTCGCATTTACTATAGGTTGATTCCAAAGAACACTCCTCTTTGCTTATTTTTCTTAGCTAAGGTTAAAGGATTTTCAAATATTCCAGTTCTTCCAGTCAACTCATCTACTCATTAAGTATTTAGATATGAAGAACAGGAGCAGGCAAGATTCAAAAAAGTCCATGAGAAAACTCTGTGAGCATTTGATGCACAATACTCTTTTTTTGAGTTGGCTGGTGTTTTAGATTTTTCTTTCCCTTGTCATGGGATAATTTCTTCTTCCTGAAGCGTGTTGTGCCAAACACAAAGCAACAACAACAAAATACCTGAAAAAGTCAATTTTCCAGCTCTGAGAAGAACAAAGATGGCAAATAGAGAAATTTGAAGAGCCCATAATATATGAGAAAATCATTGATCTCAGACTATACAATTCAGGATTTCATTTTCTGTGGGTCTAGAATGATTACAGGTGTACAGATGTGGATTGCCACTGTCATTCCAAAGAAATCTGTGGTCTCACGTTGAAGCTTTCACGTTTCCATGCAAAGCGAGGCTTTCACAACTCTTCTCTGTCACAACTCTTCCCAGGGAGGTGTATTGGAGACTTTGCAGAGGAGATGATGAAGAGATGTTGCCATAAGGACAGATAAATGTGGTGAGGCAAGGAGAGAGCTCCCCTTCCTCTGCCCCATCTCTCCCAGCTTCTTTATGCCACCTGTGCTCCTTGCTTTGTAACACAGCCGCTTGATGGGTGCTCTTCTGGCCAGAGACTAGCATAGTGTCGAGCAAGGTTACATAGAGCTTTTGCTTCTGCAAAGCAGCGCAGGATCTGTACCTCTCCGTGGGATATTTGACAATGCTGTAGCAGAAACCTCTTCAATAGCAATAGGATTCAATCTGTAAAAGTTTAAGTGTCAGCGGGAGGGACAGACTGCAGTCAGTTCACAGGTTTCCTGCACACCCATACTCTCTGTCCTGTCAGCAATATGCTCAGTGTGTCCTGGTTAGTTACCTACAAATATCTACATTAAATATATTAAAATATCTGCATATTAAATATATTAAATTTATCTACATTAAATATATTAAAAACTGAGTACATATCTTCCTGTCTAGGCTGTGTTCCTAAAAGCCTTACCTTTGTTTTTTGGTGTTGGGTTTTTTTTCTGTAATTTTCAAATCTTTTAGTAACTGTAGTCTAGTGTGCCATGATGGAATATGGAGCTTAAACGGAAATATACTAATCATTATTAATTGCATGACCATAATAAGACCATGACCAGGACATACAAGATCTTTATTCGCTCTTAACTGTAGGCTCGCATTTCCTTTTAAAGCAGTTCTTTCAGATATAAATACATACTGTAAAGTGATTCCATCAGATTAGCACAATCGCCTTTAACTTTATTGTTTCTAAAAAGAAATGAATAAACGAAAATCTCGATATCATTTCCATTGTTAGGGATACGGTGGCTACATTACATCAATGATCCTGAAATCCAGTGAACGGCTCTTCAAGTGTGGAGCTGTGGTGGCACCAATTACAGATATGAAGTTGTATGGTGAGTATTCCCTGCCCTACACCTGTGTGATCACCTATTCAAACCATCTTTTATTCATGGAACTTCTATTCATTTTAACTAGGGTCAGAGAATGTGCCAATATCAACTAGGTTTCACCTCACTGTCTCATTCTCTCCTTTAAATGACAGGGCTTCTAACACTGGGACAATTTACCAGAACGTGCAACAGATACATTATTATTAACGCCACTGATTTTTGCAAAGGACGCGTGTTTCCCATTTCCCACTTCCCACTGAAATTCAGTCAGGTACCCCATTTGCTAAGAATCCTTTAGGTAGATCAGCCTGAATCAAGACTTCTAAGAGGAATCAATTTTTTAAGGTTAGTGGTGAATTCCTTACAATACCAACCATGTCATCGTTCAGTCACAAGATATTTGGTTCTGTATGTGAAGTGTTGGGCAGAGGCTGTGGACTGCGGACTGTGGTACACAGGAAATCAGACCAGGTTACTTGAATGATCTGGGGTTTTGGGGGGAGTGGGGGTTGACTATTTAAATATTATTTTAAATGGTACATTCTGGTTTTAAATGAACATCTCTTTCTTGACTTAATGGCTTAAAGAACATCTCTAGACTCTAGGTCAGAGCTGATGAGTTTTAAAATAGAAGTAATTTTGATGAATTCACAAGGTTTTGTTTTTACTTTGACAGCATCAGCTTTTTCAGAAAGATATCTTGGTATTCCATCAAAAGAGGAAAATACCTATCAGGTAAGTTAGCATAAACAAGTAATTTAAAATGACAGTTTTACTTTTAAAATGCAATTCAGTTACACCTCTGTGTGTGTTTGTTTGCTAGGCATCCAGCGTATTACACAATCTTCATGGTTTAAAAGAAACGAATTTGCTAATAGTTCATGGGACAGCTGATAGTAAGTATTTACAGATGCAATTACATTTGGAGTCAGAGTTTTTAATAGGCAGGCATTCACGGACAGATTAGCAAGTACCTAGCAAGTACATTTTTAGTTTCATTATCGCTCCGATAAGTTTTTTTATTTTATTTCAATTATCAATTCTAACTCTAAATGATGACACTTGTCTTTGCGGAATATTTGTACCATTTAGGTACTGTATGTTCGGATTTTTTTAAATCTTCTGGACCACCATCTTGCTGGTGAAAGATATTATATGAATTATTAATAGAACAACACACAGTTTTAATGGTATTTTAAAGTCATAAAGATTCTGCAATTGAAGAAAGAATTATCAGTACAGTTGATGAAGTACAGCACCAAATGGGAAGTTAAACTTTTCAGCAAATTAATTACAAGGTAGTGATTGCATTAGTACAAAAAGCATCTGAAGCTGAAGCTATAGGGAACCTTTAAATAGCACCAATACTTTTAGCAGTAGTTTAAGTCAGAGAATGAGTAAAACAAAGCAAGTTCTAGCACTTTAAATGGAACCATAAGACGTGTCAATCAAGAGATAATTTCCAATTACAGATTTAAATTTAACTTCAGTGTGCTTTTCTTAACTGATGTAGATGGAAAGAATGAGCCTTGATTCAGGCACAGACCACGGCGCGGCACCGAGCCCCTCCGTACGGGTGCGCGGGCTTTCTTCTCTCCCTGGCCGTTCCTGCTGAGCGTGGGGCGGCACAAGCTTTCTGACCCCTCCGTCTGGGTCTCGGGCTTTGCTGACTGTAAAGGCAGCAGCAATTTCTGCCCCTCTGAACGCGGCACAGAGGGGACCGGGGCTCGGGTAGGTGCCCGAGCAGTAGCGCGTGTTCAGGGCTGGGACTCGGTTGCCTGCTGCCCTTGCTTCGTGCCACGTCTAGCGATGCTGCCCAGCCCACTCGCAGCCTGAGCTCTGCAGGGTTAGGACATGGTAATAAAGTTGCCCGTTTTTACCACGCAAAGATTAAGTTACTGATATGTTGCAGAAACTCCGTTATCTAAAGAAGTATGGGCTGTAATAACCCTGTGCAAGCAGTGGAAAATGCAATGTGCTTTCCTTTAACGCAATTATAAACTGTCATGATGTTCGAACAGAATGGTTTTACACACCTCTAAACTATCGCAGTGTGTGTAAATCAAGGGTGGAGAGAGGAGTCCTCATGGAGTGCCTGGAAAGCATGACTTCCCTTGGGGCATCCAGCTCCTTCTCTCAAACCTCCCCTGCTACCCCCCTGCATCGCTGTTACCGGTGGGGCCGCGCGCTTCCGACCACAAAGTCAGTCAACTTCCGACCCGGTACAGATTGGAAATGTTTTCAGTCAAATCTGTTTAACAGGTAAGCATTTCAAATTAGCTTAGGTTTTTCTAATAATATCCAAATGTTGTTGTCTTGCAGCTAAAGTCCACTTCCAGCATTCAGCGGAATTAATTAAACATCTAATAAAAGCTGGAGTTAATTACACTATGCAGGTATGTGCAGCTGTGACGTTTCCTATAAACACAGTTCAACATTTAACCTCATATTGCTATTTTTTTCCAGAGAAGGAACCCTCCACATCACAACGCACTGGTATTACCTTAGTTTGAAGTTACAACTCAGTTTAATCCCGTTTTCCTTACTGTTAGTATGGATATCAAGAAGCATATCTTCTCATTGTTCTTCTTTCTCCTCTCTCTCATCCTTCTTTTTTCCACCTGTTTATCTTATACTATACGAAGCGCTTGACAATCCATATGCACTCTTTATAATATGGAGATACCACTACTTTAGTCCCTTTTTACCGAAGAAAATCTTGGGTCACATGAAACTAATTTCCCCTTATTTTCAACATTTAAATTTATTAAAAGGCAGCTAAAAGGTGAGAGTGCTGTCCCCTCTCTCCATAGCTGTAGGGAGGGTGAGGGTGTGGTGAGGGGCAGGCTGGGGAGAGCAGGACAGGGCGTACTGCTGCTGAGCAGACTTGCCCGTGACCCACCGTGGAGTACGTGGATGTTTCTGGCTGGGGATTCTGGTTGCATTAAAGCTTCTCCAATATCTCAGACAATGTGGGTTCAGGTCACTCCTCCAAGTATCTCGGATGTTACACATTGCAAACCTCAACCTTTGGTGAACCTTAGGTGAACCTGTAGTTTCCACTGAAGTGTGTGAGGTCATGCCAGGGAGGAGGTGGTAAGAAGGGGGTTGGCATCACTTATGAACGGAAAAGGACTTTATGTGTGATATGTGAGTGGGGTAGGATCTGTTCCAGTTGTCCCTGTGATTTCGGCCGAGGTGGTGTGAAGGTCTGTTGGAGAAAGAGGTCTCTCAGAAAGAGCCCTCTTGAACCGTTCTCATGCAACCTTGTGATAACCTGAGTCTGAGGAAGCAGCTGAGGCTTTTTGCCTCAAGCCACCACAAGTCTCTTGTCCTAAATCCTGTGGCCTGGATTTCTTCGTTCAGCTTGCAAATTTTTGTTCAGCCTCACTTGGAAGAAATTTCCAGTGGAATTCACATTAAGAGATAAAAATGCCCACATCCACCCTAGGAGAGAGAGATGATGGGCTTTAGATAAGATAGGAAGATAGCTAAAATACGAATAAAAAGGTTGTTCACTGAACACATAGAAGCTGGGATATTGAGAGGTCCCGAAAAGCATCAGGTAATTAATCCTGATTGACGATAATGGGATTTGGATGCCTAGACACTATTGAAAATGCCAGCAAAGTAAACGATTGTAAGCACAATGACTGAGAAAATATTTTTTTTCACTTCTGCAGATCCCACTGCAGTGGTTGTTTTATGTAAGCTCAAATTCCAAGAGAATTAGTTTTACTTTGAGTTTTACTTGATGCCATAAAAATAATGTTATCATCCTGTTGTCATCTAAAACATTTTGAAGATCAGAGAAAGAAAAATAGACCCCTAAATATTTGAAAAGCCTTTTAAAAACTATTTACTTTTTTCCTTTCTCCTCTGCTAGATCTACCCGGATGAAGGTCATAACATTGCTTCTGAGAAAAGCAAATATCACCTTTACAGCACAGTCCTTGGGTTTTTTAGTGCTTGTTTAAAGGAGGAGACACCAATTTTACCACAGGAACCTGAAGAGGATGAATAAGGAAGCCTATTTGTGTAGTACTGAAGGGGACTTACTTTGCGGCTCAATAAAACCTTAAATAAAAGTGACTGTAAGATTGCAGATTCTGCAGAAGCTCAAGGGCAGCTAAAGGATATCGCAGTGGAACAGCACATTTACAGACAATGAGCTAATAAACTGGAATTCAACTACGAAGTCCAAACATATTACCAAGGGACAAAACCTTTACCTTTGTGGAAGGTCAACAGTTGGTTACAGTTTCCTGGAAGAACTTAGTTTCGCATAAGTGTAGGGTTAGTGCATGTTTGTTATGTTAAGCCTCACTGTTGGTTCTGTAAGTGGTTGCTCTGTTTTTAATTTAAATGCACATCTTTATTCATCTTTGCATAATACACAACCTATCATAAGTATTATGGCCACTAATATTTTAAAAGGTGAGCTGCAATCTAACACCTTACTGTAATGTTACAATAAGTGCAATTCTTTTGCTGTCTATTACACATAAGAAACCACAGAGATAATAAAGGGCACGATATTTTCTCTAGTTTCTGCTCAAAGGGGATATACTGTCTAGTGCATCATACAACATGGATATTGAAAATGATTTTTTTTCCCCAATTTCAGCATTTACTATTATTACTGTACCTACTAGTAACCAATAAGGGACTTTTTGGTAGTGTACTCTTGGTCTTTATGTATATACCTAGGACTCCCTAAGCAGAAAATCTTTCTGAGCTTGAAGAATTTCTTTCAAGACCTAATTAACAGCTGTATTTAAAACAATATCTGCAATTGCAATCTTTCCCCAGTCCAAAATGTATCTATTGTTTCCTTTAAATATGTTTGAGTTGTGGTTTGGTATTGTTTATAGTAGTTAATAGTTTGCTGGTTAAGCTCTAATTTTAGAATATGCTACTTTGTCACATGTAAATTAGATACATAAATATTAAATTATAGTTTCCGATAAAGAAAATTTATTAACAATGTTAAATGCCGCTGAGTAATACTTTACTCCTCAAATGAAGACATATTTTGTATAGTGCATCATCCCTTTCTTCCATCTGCTCTCAGATGTAATTCTAACGTTCAAGGTGGCCACGTAGCCGGAACACTCCATTAGTTTTTATTCCAGGGATGCTCATTAAGTCTCTTGCCAACAGGATTTAGATTCAACAGCATCACAAAGAAATGAAATGTTTTTCATTCAAGGCAAAGGAAGCTCCTGACAAGTTAAATTTTATTATTTATTCAGAGGGCGAGCCCCTCATACATCCATTTATTTGCCAGGCTGGATTACAGCAATAGATATTCAAACTATGGAATAAACAAGGCAGCCAGTTTGGGTTTGCAGAATATTAACTCTGATCACTGAAATCAAGTACAATGTTGACTTAATTTAAGGTATCTTCCTGAAGGTATAGTGAAAACTCTTGACAGATGCTGTGCCACTTACACGGGAATAGCTGTAGTTTTTTCTCTCTGGGTATATTCCAAATACTTTCCTACCCAATTAAGGTTTCATTTCTTGCAAAGTTAAAAAGAAAGTAATTTTTTTAAGATAACATACTATTTAAGATGGGAAGTTCTACATATTTTATGAAGAACAGGAATTGTTTTTAATGTAATGAAAAATCACCCGAAGCTTTTTACTTTCTTCTGGAGTATTTTCTTTCAGAGTTAGCATTTTTTTATGATGCACATAATTAATTTGTCTGAAAGGTGTGGTTTTATGGAACAGTAGAAAGTCTCTGTCTTTTAATGTTTAGTATTTATCTTGTTTTATTAGCAATGTCTAACTATTTTTCAATTCGTTTAATACAGTTTTAATGTGCAATGATATCTTGTCTGGGTTCCAGTGTCACCACAAAGTATGGCTTTGCTTTGTGGTATTTATAGTACATATGTACAGTATAGGTATAGTATATATGTATGGAGGCTACTATGTGCACTACGATAAGACCGTACCAAAAAAAAAAAAAAAGTAAGAAGAATTCAAACAAGGTTTTGCAATTCCTGTTTTCTAATAGAGGAGCAACATTTTAAAGTCTTCTTTTGGCTGGGACTTCTAGATCGTGATTTTATAAATTACACCCGTTCCTGAATAAAAGCTCACCTGCCAATGCCGATGCCTTTCCTAGCCGCGCGCAGTAAATGAGGTCCTAATCCAGGTTAACTCGGCGAGACGTTTTCCCCGATTTGAGCCAAACGCACAGGACGAAGCCACAGCCGCGTGCGGACGTTGCGCGTAGCGCGCGGGCTGGGCATGCGGAGGCTACCTGCCAAGGGTAATTCTTCTCAATACGCGCTGGCTGGTTCTCTGCGAGACAGCCACTGCGCGTTCACGCTACGTTTCACACACGCAGCCTTTAGTTACCGGCAAGAGAAAACGAACAAGGCTCACGTCTCGGCAGTAGGATTATGCACGTGCTCAGGAAATACGTTCTCTCAGATCTGTGGAACCCACACCCCGTCTCCTCCTTTCCCCATAGCTCTCTGCTTCAGAGCCTCGTCCCCTACTCTTTCTACCCCAGCATCTCACATCCAATTTTGATCACTTTACCTGAATATGAAGGTGGCATGAGGACATGGCTTCTGTAAAAATGCTTTTTCCAAGACTGGTATGTTTAAAAAGACTGTTCTCTGAAATGTGGGTTACCGGTGTGGAAATGTGGTATGCTTTTGACGTTTTTAATATTTCTCACACTGTCCTACAAATACAGGTATTTTTCTATAAACGTGTATAAAAGGTTAAGCATCAGACCCAGATTAATTGGCCTTACTGAAATTTTTCTGGATGAGTTAAGTTCAGATATTGCAAAAGTATTTGCAGATGCAGCCTCTGTTTCTAGTTAATTTGGTGCAAGGGGAGATCCAGAGCTATCTCTGCTTTTGCTAACCAGTTCAACTATTTCTTCCACTTCCGGCACAACTGAATATTGCTACCTATCAGAATCTACATACATACCTAATGGCAATCACTCATTAATTAGTCTGTGTGATCTATAGTATTGATGAAGAATTAGTACCCATTGCACAGAAATGGCATGAAAAGCGTAGATTTTTTCATAGCTTGTTGATTGTTAAGCACAGTGATGACATTTTAGGTCTGAAAAATTAGTTTGGTTCAGCTGTCCTTAAAATATGACACTTACTAGACTAGACCTATTAATTTAGGGAAAGCTAGGCAATCAGCGTATCAATTTACTGCTTGCTAGAGCTTATCTCTCTACCTTCTTGATTTCCTCTCTCCTTTTTCTGCTATTAGGACTTGAAAAATCTATGAAACCTGTAGGTCATATTGAAATTTCAATTATATTACAAAATCAAGAGTCATGTCAATTGGAATTTTTTTTTCCAGGTTGTTGAGTAAAAAGAAAGGCTGATTAGTTTTAATTTTTTTATTATTATTATTATTGCAGTGAGGACAGAATTATTTCTGACCTGGCTTGATCAACGTCTGCTATGATTCGCTATAACCAGCTGCTCGTTGTTCCTATGATTTTGGTGTACGTAGATCTACCCATGTGTGAAAATGAAGATCATAGCCTCTGTTCTCTCAGCTCTGGCACTTATTTTGGGTATGGAGTCAATTAGGTTCATTTACTCTAGAAATTGTGCCTTTTAAGACTGAAGAGCTTGTATTTGATCTGAAGCCAAAGATTCTCCACAGAAACTTGGGAGCGTTGAGTGTTGGCTCCTTTAATACAGTGCAAGGTGTGACCTAGTATCCCTCCTTGCAGGTTTATTAGTTGTCACTGAAGAAACGGAAGCAAGAGAAAGACTGGCCCAAAGAGATTGAATACCAGCTTCTTCTGCACAGCCTAAAAACACATTGGCAAAGTGCAGTGGTCCTGGTATTTTATATTTACTTCAAGTAACTCCTGCTGTCAAGTCAGTTGCCTCTGGGGAAGGAGGAACCTCACTGGTGTTGATTACTGGTTCATCTTCTTCAAAACATCTTGCAGTACCGTTAAGATCATTCTTCTTTTTCCTTTGAATGATTTCAAGAGTGCTTCAGAGAGTGGGGAGCTCATGGGATATGGCTAAGGAGAGTCACGACTTCCAAGGTGCCGGGAGCTTTGAAAAGAAAAGAAAGGATTTAGCTAAACTTCTCTCTATCTGTTGCATTTCATACATGAAAGTTGAGAAGGAGCCTGGCTTCAAGGAGGTAGGTGGATGACAAGTGCTGGTGATTCACTCACCAGGGGGTAACACAACACGCTTCCCACAAACCTAGTACCAAAATTTTGCAGTGGTAAGTGAAAGAAATGCCTGCTTTCTGATGCCTGAAAATTACAGTGCTGTTAGGTAGAGTTGATCAGGTATTTGGATGGAACTGAGGAAATTAAAGCACCTGAGCGTATGCAGTCCAAAGTTTCCATTAAACGTGGGACTAGATTTTTTGCCTGTATAATTAGTTTAGAAATCCAATATCCTACCTTTACATAAGTCCAACTCAACAACAACAAAATTGATTTAATAATGGCTATACCCCATGAGGAAACGAATGATATGTACAATTCTTTTTAATTAAAATATCCCATAAAGTGCTAACAGCCCATGTTTAGATTTCATGATCAAAGAAAAAAGAAGAAAAAAAAAAAGCGTCTGATTGATAAAACCAGCAGAGGGAATATAATTGGTAGGAAGATACTCAGGAAATATTTCCCTGAGGACAGTGATTAGAAAAATGTTTTCTGCTAAGCTGTATCTTGTGTCATAAGCGAGCTCAAGAGTACAGCTGTCATGGGTGCTTCTAAGAGAATCTAGGTGTTGACGCACAGCTGATGTCCAGAGGGCTCAGGTGGAGAGCGGGAACCTGTACAGGTAGGTGGTCCCGTCCCCCACCCAGTGCAGAGCCTTCGCAGCTCTGTCTGTCCAGGTCCCTTACGGATCCAGCACTGGTTGTGAGCTTCTCGGGGGTGAAGGAACACTGGACCAGGAACGCAACTCACAGGCAAAAGCAAGAAATTGTTACACCACCGGGAATAAGAAAAACGATCTGAAGCAATTGCTAAGCGCTGCGGTGGTCTGGCTGTCCCCCGGTTGGTGGAAGGTGAGGGTGGGGAGCTTGGGCAGGGCACTCGGGGACCCACTGCCGCTGCAGCCGAGAGACCAGCTGCCAGAAATTACAGCTCCGTCGGGGTCTGTAAATGCTCTAACATCGCTGTGGAGAAAAGGAAAAGGAATATATGCATGGACAGAATATTTTGTCTCTTAATACCACGGAAGAGTTGCTTTAATAAAACAGGCAGATCCTTCCAAAATCTTAACAGAGAGCGGAACGAGCCTGAAGAAGTGCATTGGTTTGTTCCCACAGCGGCGCCTGTCAGACTTTTCCCAGCATATACATTTGACAGATAAGATAATGTGTAGGATCTGTTCCTGAGAAGGTTTTCAGCACCATTAGGAGAGAGGTAAGAAAGAAGAGTGTCATGAGGAGACAAGCAAAGAGGTGTTTTATTGCAATATGTTGCTCTATTCAGAGCTTTTGCTCTAAAATCAAGTGGTGTAGCATGTACGGTAAACCCCAGTAACCTTAGAGATAAATGTAGCCAACGCTTGTTTCAATAAACTTTCAACTAAAGCAGGAGAGCCAGAACATTCAGTTATTTTCACAAAAGAATGATGAATTATGTGTTTTCTTAGGGGTTTTCACTCCTGTGTTTAATTTGTATCCTACCCTTCAGATAGTCATTTTAAGGTAGGAATTGTTAAAGGAAATAAGCAATTACAGTGAAAACTTTTGTTTCGTGAAACAGTACAAATTGTTACATTTGAAGCTATTGTCAAGTTAACTGTTCTTTCTTTTGGGTTATACTAGACACTACATTTGTTGGGGTGATGGATTGATATTTTTTTAATTGGAATGGAAATGATACCGATCTTGGACAGAAGGGCTTATCTGCTTCTGTAAGAATTACTTGTGGCAATACAGTGCATCTGCATACCAGGGAAATATTTCAAGGAGGTTTTACAGAGCACC